TATATATATATATATATATAGCTTATATATTTGTATATGGTTAACTGATAATCGACAGGCGACAGGAAAACGAACAGCGCGAGTGAATCGCTCGAAGGCCATTCGCTTGCTCAGCTACATTAGCTTGAGGTTGAGGTTTGAAATCTGAGCTGGTATTAGCTAACTAGAAGATGAAGAAGCAGAAGAAGAACATTGGCACCGTTAGTGTAGCCACAATTTTAGATAGTAACTGTATTATTAGCGCGTATTATATGACCTGGTAACTAGCTTCGATAGTCTATATGCCAGAGCTGAAAACTACGGAAGTTGGATACAGATTGAGCTTAAGATACGCGAAAGCTTAAGCTAGATGAAAGTTATATTGAATATGAAAGTAATTTTATGTATAGAAAGCTTGACAATAATGATGATATGATCATTTGATTTATCTGAAAAATTAAATAACTAAAATATTACCAAACATAATTTTAATAAATCATTTATTATTCTATTCTTCTACCTAGTTTTGACTTAACATTAAGGTTGCTTACTTTCCAAACTTCTCTAGTTTTTAATTAGCAAATCATCATATAAATGCTTGAGATAGAGTTTTGGCAACAAGAAATCGATCAAAGCCTTAGCTTTTGCTTAGATAACAAAGATAATATGTGTTCAGAGATGCCTTTTGAAGATCGAATCAAAGCAAGTACAGATAATATGATCATCTATCTGGAATTCTCTTTAATCAGTTCATAGCTGAAATCGAGGAACTTAGCGCTAAAGCAGTAAAAACTTAAGCTGAACTTAAGATATTTTAAACACATATTAGAGACATTTTTTTGAAGATAAATCTCAGACCTCCAAATCTATCTCTTTTCGAATATCGGATATAAAACTTTTGTATAATCTGCTAAATAAGAACACACATTTTTGATATTTTAAGAAATCAGCTCTAAATTTGCAAACACAGATTATCAACAGAACTATTTATAATACGCAAATGCAATCTGTATAGTTATATTCGAGTATGACATAAATATCCAAGGCGACTCATGTGGGAAATTTAATTATAATAAATCTTATTTATATAATTTCTACATAATATATATATATACTTGATATGAAATGGTTCACAAATTCCACATTGAACTGCTATGCAAGACGCTGTTAGGAAACCTTGTTTTGAGGAACTAAATGTCTTATAGACACACGACCTTCACTCAATCGAAATTCTGTGCGATTATTATATAAGGTTAGGTTAGGTTTATCGTGTGTGTAAATTTTGCATTAATTAGCAGAGTTATTCACTTATAGGAAGAAGGTCGTTGAGATACGACAGATATGACTTGACTTATACGACTCGAATGATTCAACAAGTGAATCATTTATCACAGATATGTTTCACAGCGCTTCAAAAGTTTCACGCACTAAGCCCTATCAATTGTGACCCAATTGTGCTGCAGCGTTGCCACCTTTTGAAATTACCTTCAACAGTTGAAGCTTTTGGCAAACGGAAGTAAGGTCAGTTGTTCTCTGATTAAATTATATATATATAGTTTTATATTAAGAGAGAAAATAGGCTGCTGCAGCGTTGCCACCTTATGCACTGAGCTATTGTTTTTCGTTAGATCATTTCAATTTCCTCAATACTTTCAGCTAAGACTATAGCCAATGCATTCATATATGTATACCTTTCATCTATTATATATATGAAGCAAAACATACTGCTTCAGCGTTGCCACATTATTCATTTTATATTGCTGTTTTGTTGATAAGCATAGCTTAAAGATTTTCTAAATAGTTGGCTTATAATTCCATTGAATCTATATCATATGCAACATTGCAGTGTTGCCACCTTATTAATTTTTTCGATTGAGCTTAAGTATTTTCCGATAATGAATCAGAAACTGGAGAAAATCGTTTCATATATATATATATCCAACTTATATTATATGCAAAGCAAAGTAAAAGCTGCTACAGCGTTGCCACCTTATGCATTGCCTCACATTTTCCAGCTGCACTCAGTGCCTTTCTCAACACTTTCAGCCGGAACTAGCGCCATTCAGTTGTGTGACACATATATCTATCTTGTGTGTACATATTTATATGTGCAGCAATAAATTAAGTCGCAGTGGCAACACCCGCGCCTGCTCAGCCCTATGCCAGGCAAGGCTTGCTTAATTCTAGTACATGCGGCATGCAACTTACAAAAACTTATATATTTTTTGCATTGCATGGAAACGTGATAGCAAAAGTTGTTGTTGTTGTTGTTGTTGTTGTTGGTGTTGGTGCAGGCCAGTTTCGGCTTGGTTTGCTGCAGTAGCCGCATCTGCTTGTGGAATTTATTTTATCGTTAAGAAAATGTGTGTAAAAATAAGTGAAACTATTGGAAGCTGTTGCCGCTGTGCGCCTGTCTCTCTAGCTAGTCATAGGTGTGTGCATGTGTGTGTGTGTGTGTGTGTGTGTGTAGTGTGACCAGTTTGCGTGTGGGGCAGCTAATGCCTCCACTTTTGATAAAATGTTGGACTGGCCTAAGCCAGTTGCTGCTGCTGCTGCTGCTGTTGCTGTTGCTGTTGCTGATGACCAGTAGCCACTTACAGCTGCAGCAAATTATTGCCGCATTGCTGGCTTGTTGTTATCAGAGGCAGCAGCAGTAGCAGTAGCAGAGCAACTGGCAGTAGCCGCATCGCATCGCATCGCATAGCATCGCATCGCCTTGTGATTTGCCTGAGCCACATCAACAATTCGAGCCACAATTCAGAGCGAGAAACCCGCTTCACAATTTTTTTGTAGTTTTCGTTGATGTTGTTTTTGTCGAATTTCAGAAAGTGGAAGACCTTCGTTGTTGCCGCTTGCCACTTGTTGTTGCTGCTTAGTTTGTTATCAGGTTTGCGGGGTTCCTACCCCCCAGCGCCTCACTCCTCCACCTCACTCCTCCTCCACCTCCTCCTCGTCAGCTTCATTTGTGGCTATCAATTTCACACCTAAGCCAACGAGTTTCTAAAAGTATTTTTTTTCTTTTTTGTTGGCCAAACAATCGAAGCCAGCAAACAAAGTTGTTCTCTCGCTCTCTCTTCCATTCTCTCTGCCTCTCTCTCTCTCTGTCTCTCTTTATGCATAATGACAGTTATAAATGGAAGAGCACTTAATAAATGTCAAAGGCGTACAACGATTAGCATCGCAAATATCGGGGTAATATGATAGGGCCATCGATTCAGTGAGTCGACAAAATGTGGAGCATGGCCCATGGCCCGATGGCTGGGCTGGCTGGCAGCTGGCTTATGCAATGCTAATCGAGAAACAGTTGGGGCTTTGATCTCTCTCGAGGCGTTGGCAAATCCATAAATAAACCGATTTACAATAAACCAATAAACACACACGCCCAAACGCCAACCAGTCACATGCAATTATTCAATTAACCAAATGGCGTCATAAATTATCGTGTCTATCGACCACTATATGCAGTGTGACACTATCTGGCTAGGGCCGATCGTTACCTACGTGCCCAGTCCAAGTGTAAGAGCTCTACATAGACCCAGCCCAGTTAGCAATCGCACTCTTAACTGCCAATTGCCAATTGCCAATTGCGGAATGCTGTTTCACTGCAATTCGTCGTTTGACTTTATGAATATGCAGCCCGCTTATGACACTTGATTCGAAAACCACAAAACACTAATAAAAAAACCCTTTCAACTGACTTCCTAAAACAAATCAAGCTGAATGCTTAATACAAGTTTCTGTTGAAAGCATTTCTTATAGCTGCTTCTATTATATATGAAATAATAATGTATTTTCAATGAATTTACAACTTAAAATACCAATTGTAAATTCTAAAAGTTTCTTTAAATTACTGATGCGATTATATATTTCTTTTAAATATAACTTTTTTCAATTTCTCCTTTTTTCTCTATGAAAAAATTATTTGAATATCCTTAAAACATATTTAAAATATTATAAATAGTTCATAATAAGTTGATTAAATAAAAATAGATTTTTTAGAGCATTTCTCGCATTTTTTCTTCATATTTCTAACATCAAGTAGAATTTGAAAATAATGCAAATTCAAACACAAATTAGAATTTTTTTAATTTGATTTTTGACTAAATATTATATATAAAATATATTAATAAATACTCAAAATATAAAAAAAAAAAATTATAAAAAATTTTACACTTTTTTAAAATTGAAAATTTATAAATAAATTTATTTTATTATTTTTAAAATTTTTTGTATACAACCAATTTTTATTTAATTTTTTGTTGCACATTTTTTTAATAAATTTAATCATGCTCAATTTGAGTAATAAAATTTTTTATATATTTATTTTTCTATTTCTTAAAATTTCTTTACAACATTTCTTTTATTTAACACTTTTCCATTTTTTTTTATTTCACACAATAAAAAAATAATTATGTGCCTACATCTATAAGTAAGTAATACATGTTTAATAATAAAATATTTTAGAAAGTTTTTTTTGTAGGAATAATTAAAAAAACCAACAATAGAAAAGAAACCAAAAAACACGAAGAATTTAGAACTGAGAATTTCTGTTAGATATACATATGTATGTCTTAAAATACAATTACAAGTTGTCCTAGTTTTCAATTCGTGATGCGATAAACATTATATTTATATATTTGCTTATAGAGAGTGAAAAACAAACAGCTTTAAGCAGAATCACGATAAATCGAAGTCAATCGCAACTGACACCAACAGCTTTGCGAGTAGACCAATTGTCAAATTGTTGATTCATTCAGGGAATGCGCAGCATGTATGCCCATGCTGTATGCCCAGCTGTTTATCTTCGCATAAAATACGTAAGCCTTTAAAGATTAAAAGGTTTGCTCAACAGTGCAACAGCTGTTTCCTTGCGCAAGAAATTAAAAGTCAAGTGTTTCGCTTAACGTAAGATGGAAATGCAAATTAGATACGCAGACACCATGTCGTATGCGCATTATTCAAACACAAACTGCTTAACAGTTATATAATATAGATATATATGTGATACGATGTGATCTTACCTTGTGCACCTGCTGCACCTCTTAGAAACGTTTCAAAATCCACAAATCCTTTGGCTGCAAGTGCAACAACAACCAATTCTGGCAATTCACGAACGTTGCATACATTATATTTATATGGACACACATGCGCATACACTGCTGTTATCGATAACTGCTCCGGAACTGCTGCAGATATATGTATATATACTTGGATATATATCTGCCATCAATATTTCTATGACACTTGCACTTCACATGTTGCCCCAAGAAAGGCTTTTGGCTCAAATGGCTGATGACTGATGGCTAATGACTGATGGCTGATGGCTGCACACACATAGACACACTCACACACTCACGTGCACACACAGGCGCAGAGTAATCGATTGCGTTATCGTTATCGGTATCGGCATTGAGCGACGCTCACAATCGCGGAACTAACGCGACGAGTGACGAGACGAGGCGCGCTTCAGAGGCTGCGCGATGGGGCGTGGTCGGGGTCGAGGGAGCTGTCGAGTCTTGGATGTTGTTTACAGTTCTTGAGCTCAGCTGCTATCTACAATAGCTGCTGCTGCGGCTGCTCTGGCTGCTGCTGCTGCTGCTGCTGATTTTGTTGTTGTTGCTGCACAGCTTTAACTTTATTTACAGCACGCGAAATATTACAGCCAAAAAAAAGAGCTATCAATATGTATATATACACACACATACACATACATATACACATATATGTGTGTATATATAGACGTTGGCCAGATATGCAGATTTATGTGCTGGGTCTGCCTTAACGAGTTAGATCAAGTTATGACAAGCTGCTGCCGCTGCCGCTCCCGCTGCTTGTTGTAAATTGTAAATTTTGTATGTTGTTTTTATATATATATATGTATATATATATATATATATGTATATATATATATATATATATATATATATATATATATTTATTTTTTGATCGAGCTTTCGAGTTGGCGACAACGACGAATCTTTCGGTTCCGTACAACGAGCGCTGAGCGCAAAAAACTGAATGAGCGTCCAAAGCGGCCGGGCAAGGCAAACAGGCGGCACAGAGCCACAGAGACAGCAGCAGCAGCAGCAGCGGAGCAGCGGCAGCGCCAGCAGCAGCAGCTGTGTCGAGCTAGTTAGTTACTTAGTTTGAGCGCGTAGTAGTGAGAGTCGATCGACACACACAAACACACACACACACACACACACAACTTGTTTAAGTCGCTCAAGCTCAAGCGCCATTTAAGTTGAGTAATTAAAACCAAGCAGCGATTTGCATGTGTGTGCGAGTGGCTCTGTGTGAACTGTGTGTGTGTGTGTGTGTGCGTGCGCGATTAATTATTAATAAAGCCCAAAAAGCAACAACAACAATAAACAAACAAACAAGTCCGACTGTCCAGCTATACGACAATTACAAATATTCAACTCTCTCAGCATGGCTGAGCTCAGCTGCGCGACTTTCTTTGCCAGAGCTCTCTGGTTGACTTCTTCTTCTTCTTGCTGTTGCTAGCTGCGGCGGCTGCTGTTGCTGCTGCTGTTGCTGCTGTTGTTGTTGATTTGGTTACCGAAATCGGCATTTCAACTGGTTGAGTCTCCGCATTTACAGCGCAGTGCAGCAAATGTAAATCTAAATTGATTGCAAAATGCTTAAGACTGAGCGTATTCATTATACGCCATGTGAATTGAAGCGCACAGCGTTGCCAGACTGTCTGTTTTTTTTTCTTTCAGAATTTAACCATTTTTGTCAAATTTTTGAAAAGTCTAGTGAAATTTGTCAGAAGTTTTAAAAGTTGAAGAAACAGAAATAAAATAAAAATATTCTAAAATTTGCCATCATTATTATATGTAATAATTTAAGAACAATTTATAAAATAAAACGAATATATATAAAGAAAAATAAATGTCTTTTTTATATTACAAATTAAATATAAATTTATTAAAACACAAAATTATTAATAATATAATTAATTTAACCTAATGAAATTTATTTTATATTTTTCATAAATAGTATTGTTAGAACTTAATTTAATCGCAATGCAAGTTGTAATATAATGTTACAATACTAATATTAATATTCATATATTTTAAAATGCATTTCTTTAGTTTTTAAATATATTTTATTTTTATTGATTTTAAGAAGAAAATTATATATATTTAGTGCTCAGATTTTTAAGAAAATATACTTTTTATTTTAAATATATTTCATACATTAAAAATATTTATTTAATAAATAACAAATTTTTAATTGAACCTTTATTATTCCATAAATTTAGCTAATTATTTACTTAATAAATAAAAAATTTTGAATTTAAACTTTAATATTCCATAAATGTAGTAAATTATTATTTAATTTAATAATTTAATTTATTTAAATTCATTATTTATTATTATTTAAACTTATTCACTTTATTTATATAAATTGCATGATTAACTTAACTAACTTAATTTTAATAATTTAAATTGAAAATACTTTTGTTCTATTAAATTAAATCAAAAACATTGCGCATACGCCTTGTTGATAGGCCAACAAGTTGACCATCTGGCAACGCTGTTAGCCAAAATAGTAGCTGATATTGTTGTTGTTGTTGCTGTGGCTACTGGTAGCATAATTAAAATATTGCACTTGTTACTTCTGCCAGTTTCCGAGCTCAATGCTGCGTGTTGGCGCTTGTTGCTGTTGCTGCTGTTGCTGCAGCTGTTGCTGTTGCTGTTGCATGATGCTGTAGTCTTGCCATGCTCTTTCCGATGCATTGTTTTTTTGTTTTTACCACAGCACAAAAACATCCAAACTCAACGTTGTCTTGTATTAAAACTTGTTCATTGGAATTTTCTAATAAATCAATAAACGCGGACAACACATTGTGTTGCTAGTGTTGCACAGAGGGCGTGGAGGGGCCAGGAGTGGGCGGGGGTGCGAAGATGCTCTCGAAAGGGGCGGCAGGTGTGCACAGAGTCTGTGGCCCATAGCTGCCAGCGTAAGGAAAGAAATAGTCGAGACTCTTTTTAAGCCAACTTTGCGATTATGGAAAAGTTTTCGTTGTTGACAGCAAACGTAATTGCAGCTGCAACAGCAACAACAACAACAACAACAACAGCAACAACAACAGCAACAACAACGACAACAAGCAGTTGCAACACTTTCACGCATTGCATTTCCGGACAGCCAACGCTTCCGAGGAAGTAATATTGCGAGCCCGAGCAAGTAGAGCTCATTGCCTATAATTATGCAATTTTCTATATATATAAAATATATATGTATATATATATATATCTGGCAAATGAAGGCAAAAACAATTTATTTATGTTTTTTCTTGCTTTTTTCTATACACATATTTTGTATACATGTATATATATTTATTTTTTATTAATTTTTTATGAGCTGCTTTGCCTTCCAACGCGCAGACAAACAAAGCGGAAAAACAACTTTTTGCTTTAATTAAATTATTATGCTGGCATTATAAGTTTTTATGCCTGGCTTATAACCTGTGCGTTTTCATAATCAGCAGCAAGACTTCTTCTTCTTCTTGTTCTTCATCTTTTTTGAGTGTGTTAACCAATTTGATAAACAGCCCAAGCTGAGAAAAAAATGATCAAATGTTGCTGGCAACATTGTTGCTAACAACATTGTTGCTAGCGCTAGGCATGCAAATGGGCCAAATCGAAAGCCGCTTCGTTCGTCACATTTTTTCGCGTTGCTGCTGTTGTTGTTGTAGTAGTTTTTTTTAATGTAAATAAAATGGAAATTCCTTGGCAAAGAGCAGATTGCAAACAAAATGCAGGCAGGCGCGCAAAAAAGTTGTAGAACAGCTCGGCGAGGCACTTGTTAAGATGACTGCCTTGTTAAACGAGCCTGCAACACCCCAACAACAGCAGCAACAGCAACAACAACTATAACAACAACAATAAACAATGTTGCAATGCTTAATTATTTCAGCGGCAAGGAATTCCTCGACGCAAACTTGAACTGCTTCTGCTGCTGCTGCTGCTGCTGCCTGTTGCTGCTGCACTTAAGTGCGGGTATTGCGGCCAAGCGTGCAGCAGGCAAACGCGATTGTTGCCAACACTTGAGGTCGTCTGCTAGGCACACACACTCGTACGCAGAGCCTACGTCTGAGTCGCTGCCACAGCTTCAGTCACATTGGTCAACGGCACCGACGCGTCTATGTTGCCAGTTGTGGTTGCATCTTCTTCTCTGAGTTGTTGGCGCACCTATTTGTAATGCATTAATAGCCAAGAGGCAGCCGCAGCAGCAGCAGCAGCAGCAGCAGCAATTGCAGCTCAGCTCAAGCCAACAGATTGACATTAAGCTGCCTTCTGCCTCTGTCTCTGACTCTGGCTCTGGCCATGAAGCTGATGCATTTGATAAATGGCAAGCTGCACATTAACACTGCCACAGCTGTGCCACGCTAATAATCCATAAATTGTTAATTGGTGCGTTGCCAAATGGCGTTAGATCAAATGCATGTGATTTATTTCCCATCTTCCATTCTTCTTCCATTTGCTCTCCATTTCTTATCTAGACCTGAAGCTAAGCAGCGCTAATCACCAAAGAAAAGCTGCTTAATGAATTACAAATACTATGGCGGAGTGATATTGATTTCTTAAAATTAATTTCAATTAAATTTTATTGTTTTTTTATTGAGCGATATTTAGATATATTATATATAAAATTTTTGGATATTTTTAAATTAATTTACTCTAATTATTTGATGTGTTTTGTTCCAGTTTCATTTGATATTTGTTAGATAGAATTTTTATTTATTTATTAAATTTAAAGTTTTAAATCTTTATATATATATACTATATAAGAGTGACTGAAATCAATAATCTCTATCTCTAGTCTAGTTACTTGACTTTGTACAGACCACATATCAAGCCGTAGGAGAAGGCAATAGCCTGTGTATAAGCATACAAATAATGTTTAAAACTTTTTAAAAATTATTGACTTTTCATAGTTCAAAAATAATAATAATTTAAAGTGCTTAGAAAACTAAGAAAAATGCATTTCAGTTGGAGTAAACATATGAAAAAATAAGTAGAAAATAAAATTTGAGTAAAATGTTAAACTTCAAATGTGCCATAGACAGAAACAAGGGTTAAAATTGAGCCGCTGAACACTTTTTAGCATAAGTTGATTGAGCACAGATCTTTCAGTTCTGATACGCCACAGCTCCCACTGTGACTACGACTGTGACCTAATGTCACATCGATTTGGGCTGAGTTTTCAGGGGAATTGGTTAGCAGTTCAGTGCACTTGGTTCGATGGGGGTTTCTTTTTTGTTGGGTTATTTTTTGGAAACAAGGGCTGCCAACCCCCGACAGATGCTTCAAATTAAGACATTCCATTGGCACATAATGGAATGGGCATGAATCATGGCCAAGCCAGAGCAATAATTGTATGCAAATTGCAAAGAAGAGACATGTGACAAAAAGCATTAATTGAACTTGCGAGAGCGAATGCGATGCGATGCCAGGCGATGCCATGAGATGCGATGCGATTGCTTAGGCAATGTGCTCATAGATACGAATATGATTCCATTTGGCACTCGGCATGAACTTTGCCATTGTCTAGACAAATTAAGCACAGCCTCACAATTTGTGGAGATGCGCAGCAAGCACAATTTACACAGAATTTCGTCTCAAGTTTCTGGCCCGGCCACGTGGCGTATGCGCAATGTGTGTGTACGCAATATATGCTGCGTGTGTGTGCGTGTGTGTGGCGTCGTCAGCTTGTCTGGGCACAGCTGCTTTCCAAATGAATGTGATGTCATAAGTCAACAACTCAGCTGCCCCAAAAGTCTATTTGATATTCGAATATGTGTGTTTCAATGTGTGCGTGCGAGTGCGTGTGCGTGTGTGTGTGTGTATACAAAGATCTGATCTGATCGGATCGGATCGTTAATTAAAATTGCCAGCGTATGCGAGTACCAAGTCCGAGTACTTCATTAGCCACGCAGTTGCCACGCGCAGCTCTCCAATGCTTAATTAATAAATCAACGCGACACTTGCACTCAACAACAACAACAATCACTTCAACATGATCTTCATAGTCATCATGATCATGATCATCGTCATCATCACCATCAGAGCAGATGTTCAACTCGCTCTGAGATTGTTGCCAACAAGGCAGACAAATTGACGCGACATTCCACAGCAGCCGCTGTCAAAGTTTGCCTTCACTTCGGGGCGGTTGACAAACCAGGCCCCACCACTCCCCCCACAGCTACCCCTAGCTCTTATAGTGTTAAATATAGCAGCTGACCAGCAGACATTTGCAGACACACAGCTAAGACGGAAACGGAAACGTTTCTAATCGCAGCTCATATATCTGAGCGTGGGCTCTGGCCCTAAGTTGTGGGCAGGCCTTTAATTTAATTCACGTTCTTTCATTTAAGAAAATATTAGCTTCAATTGAGTTTCTGTCGAAGCAATGTCTTAATGAGTGAATACTCACACACAAGAAATTCTGAGAAAACATATTGATAATTGATATCAGTGGGATTTCTACATATCTAGGCTTACTGGACTTTCAGCTGAATCCAGATCTGATGAAAAACTATAAAAATATATTATGTAAAACTTTTATTTGGTATATGGTGGTATGAATAAAATATTAAAATATGTTATTATATAATTAAATTATTGGCTTAATTAAAAATTAAAATAAAGAAAGAACAACAATTTTAAATTTAATTGAGTAAATATATGCAGATTTAGCTAAAAGAATTTACTATTTTTTTAAGTTTATTTCTTAATTGAACAGTAACTTTTTAGCTTTAATTACAATTAAATTATAAAAAATATTCATAATTTTATAATAATTATTTAGCTATTAATTATTTAAAATTAAGAAGTATAACATTATATAGTAATCGAAGACATTCTGAAAATCTATTCATATAGAGCGTATGTTGCTAGGGCTATCTACTATAAAGGTATATACATAATTAAAAATTAATGAAAAATTATTTAAACAAATATTTAGGTAATTCATTAAATTAAATTAAATATTATTTATTAATTATTAATTAAAAAAATGATTAAGAACATAAACAAATTTACTTTAATTTAATTTCTGTATTTAGTTTAAAATATGTATTAATCTAAGTTATTTCTTTCCATATGTTTCAGTTCCTCAGTTGCAGAAAGCAATCAGAAATGATTCATTGTATTAGAAAAGACATAAAGAAACGCAAAATGTTAAATTTTATTCTACTTTATTCTAAGATGGATATACCAAGTCACATTCCTTAAATAAAATATTACAAATAAAAAGACTTAAAAATAAAAAAATAATTTTGCTTGAATGAAAAATTTGCCTTAATGAACTGTAATTAGATAGTCCGATTTATCAAGTCATATTTTATTCGCAAGAACTGCAGACTTAGTCATCACTTAGCAGCTGCAGCTCATTGTTGCTATTGTTGTTGTTGTTTATTTTTGTATAAGCATTTATATAGTTAATAACAAAGTTAATCAAATGCAAAAAATAGCACAGAACTGAGATACTAAAGGCGAATGTGATTATTTAATAATTGTGCCAAATGCGCGGCAAAATAATTATTGTAAAGTGCAACAACAACACAACAACAACACAACAACAATAGCGACAACAATAGCAACAAATAGTGTCTATTGTGCATAAAACAATGAAATGGAAAGAAAATAGAAAACAACAGTGAGAACAGCTTGTCTTGTTGTCAACGAAGCGTGAATACTCTAACTGTGGAATCTGGAATGTGGAATGTGGCACATAAAGACAACGTTTGAATGCTGACCAATAATATGTCTTGATTGTACTACACATGAACCACATAAGGAAGCAAATCTTAAGTGCAAAAGATGACAGCTATGAGAAGCAGATGAAAGCGGATATTCAAAAATAAATTATTATTATTATTAAATTGAAGAAATTGCATGATATATCTGTATTATATCCATATGTTATCTTATGGCTATTAATAACTATCAGTGAAGTCAGACACGCTAAATATAATGAGCTGTAGCGGCATACAGTTCCACCTGGTTGGTTCCAAGGTGGAAAGCAGCCTATGAAAGCGGAGGCTGCTAAGCTGGAAATGCAGCTCGAAATACGACGTGATGACGATGGGAATCACGGTAGGTAAGTCGTAATCTACCAAAAATATATATATATATATGTATATATATAACATTAATCTACAATATCAAAAATATTTAACTTGAAAACCTTTCAATTAACAGAACAATCAATTTTTTATAATTCTGTTTTCTATTTATTGCAACTCTAAATATATTTATATGTATATTTATATTTATATATTCATATATATATATATATATATATATATATATATATATATATATTTTTTTTTTAATTGCAATCATCATTTACAAAAATTGTTTGAAATGAATTTCAGATATATATATAACTATATATATATATATTAAAATGTGAGTAAATGGTAATATATATTATATATATTTTTATTTTTACTTATACATTTTTTTACATTTATCTATTTATATTTATATTTATTTAACATTTATCTATTAATTTTTGAAGACTTTTTCCTGCCAATAATGTTAATGTTAATATAGTTAATGAATGTCCAAAATTTTTGCTCAATCAAATTTTATATTAGACACTGCCTTTGCTCTACGTGCGTCATTACACAAGCCGCACACTCTTAGTAAGGGTATTCAAAATCGAGACGAAACAAGGAAAAAAAGGCAATTAGAAAAATATGCAGCAAAGTGTCAGTTGTAAAATTGTAAATTGCAACTGGGCGCGCGTCGAGTTTAGTTTCTGTTGTTGATTTTTTTTTTAATATTTTATTGTTGTTGCTAAAAATAAAACTAAACAAATAAATTTACATTTTTAATTGCAATTATCGCTGGCTATTGTTGTTGCTGCTGCTGCTGCTACGACTGCGGCTGCTGCTGCTACTGTTTGCCTTTGGGGTCTTAAACAATTAAGATGATTTATTAGCAGCGCATTTTTATGAGGCAAATAAACTTAACAAAAAGTCAAATATTTATGCTTTATAATAATCATAAATACATATATATATATAGATGGATATATCTATATGATTTATCACACATATATGAGAACAGCCATAAAAATCAACGGAATTCATCTGGTGGCCAAAAAACACAAAATATTGCTGATTGCTGATTTCATAAGGCGGAGAACAAAATGTTTTATTATATTATTAGTTTTCATTGAGAGAGGAAAAAGCTAATTGCCAAGTTTTATGTTTGTTCACTTGAGCATAGATGCGGCACAGCATAGGAGAGATATGTCGGCGCTCGACTTCATATTCACATTACACAAAAAAAAAAGAATAAAAACGTTAATGAAACGAGTCGTAAAAATTTATAAGTTAAAATTAAACAGGAAAATCGTAAAAACTGTCTGTACACTTATTAAACAAATTGAAACTATGCCTCGGGCCGGGTTTCAAGAGCAGCTGCCAGCTCAACTCAACCAAACTCTTACGGCACAACGAGGAAATGCAAATCCATGACATTGGTGCCCGTGTGCCCAGTGACCATATGATAGCCACCGTCTTCCAGCTGGCTGTAGAAGTTGTAGCTATCACAGTTGCGCAAGCAGTTGGCCAGCTCGTCCAGGGTATGGCTAGCCAGATAGGCATCGATGACACAGCTATCACCTATGGCACCAGCTGCATTCGTGGGCCCATCAATGCCATCCGTGCCAGCGCTAAGGAAACTGCAATCGTTTAGCAACTCATCCCGATGCAGCATTTGCGACATGAGCAGCGCCAAGTGCTGACTGCGGCCGCCCAAGCCCTGACCCGTGACCTAAAAATATATGGAGCAATATTATAAACTATACTTTTTCAATACAGCTTAGCACTCACTTTGATCACCGGCTCGCCGCCACAGATAAGAAAGAGCGGCTTTTTGTTTGTCACATGCTGTTCGAGCGCTTTCAGAAATTCCACCCAACTCTTTTCGTCAAAGGCAAATCTTTCGCGCAGCTGCTCTTGATTGATGTTGTTCTGCTTGTGCTCTTGTATGCCATGTAGCAATCGCTGATAATCCGCTGCCACGCTATTCACTTCGCCCTGTATGGAGCAGCTCAGTACACAGGGTATGTAGCCTAGTTTGGTGGCTTCATTAGCTGCTGCTGTGGTCGCTATCAAGTTGCTGCCCACAACAAAGACTTTGCCATTGTCGAGTTGCTGCTGCTGTTGCTGTTCAGTTGACTGTTGTTCGAAGAGCTGCTGTAGCTCTGTTGATAGTTCATTCCACACTTCATGCTTAATCAATATATCCTTTGCTGATTGATCCCTAGCGCTTGGTTGTATGGTGGGCCCGGAGGCAATCAACTCCAGTGGATCACCGACAATGTCGCTGAGAACAAAGGTGACCAACATGTGCGCCCGCTGCGCAGCCAGCGCTACTCCACCGCCTTTGATATCCGAGCAGGCAATGCGCACAGTATTCAACTCTTGAATGCTGGCGCCGTGTTTCATCAGCTTGTCCACTATGTTGCGCTTGTCTAGCAGCGTCAATGGAGGCTTGGGCAACGGTAACAGCGCCGAGCCACCTCCTGAAATGAATACAAAGAGTATATCCTTGCTGGTCATGCTCTCCGCTAGCTTCTTGATGGCCTTCGCTCCATTCAAAGCCATCTCATCTGGCAAATTGTTGGGCGCTCCCTCGTATGTGATCAGTTTCTGGCTGATGGGCTGCTTGTACTGCTGCACGCTGTTGAGCGGCACGTTTAGCACACCGCCAGCTGACCAGTCGCCCAGATCCTGCTGCACCTTGTTAGCCATGCCCAGCACAGCTTTGCCAAAGCCGACAATGTGACACGTCTTGCCTGTTATATCATGTTGCTCTCCATTCAGCTTGATATAAACACTCTGATTCTGAGCTGAGGGTCGCAGGTCGTGGATATTAAAGTCGGCAAATATCTTCTCCGGATGCACTGCTCTCACTGCACATTGGAAAACGTGACGCATGTGCTCCCACGTCTGACGTTTGGCCATAATGAATAAGTCTTGTAAATGCTGCAAAGATATAAACGCTATAATAGATCTTCTAATTTATTAGATACTTTAGACGTTACAACTCGAGTTCCAAGTTATGAGAGATGCAAATTTTCAAATCAACATGCCGATTACTGCAATGACGATAACGATAGCCAAACAGGATATGCTCCTCGCTAGTTTGCACTAAGGAGTAGAAGTTTGTTTCATTTGTTTATTTTTCATAATCAGCGAGTCTGTGTGCAGCTCATTTTCATACATACCTTTTGGCTTTGTGGAAATTAACAAATGAAACAACACTTCTGTACACTGCGAGTAGAAAATCTTTTTAACTTATCATATCGGCAATCAGCTGCCGGGTCAAATTTGTAGGTGAAAACAACTGTTGTTGTTTACTAAGAAATTGCATTAGCGATGTGCAAGTGATGCCCAAATGCGATACGCAGACACGAAACTATCGAGGAGCATTACAAATTGAATGTGGTCGGGAAAGAATAATTTAAATAATGTGTGTATTCAGTATCAGCTCTAGGGCGCAAAACAAATGCATATAACAATAGAGCTTATTTATTATATGATGAATCAAATTAATGTAAGCATATGCACTGCTTGCAAGCGCACAACTATCGCATAGTATATACATACAACACTTGTAGCTCACATACGAACGAAAGCTAATAGCTATGATATTCAACTTATGCTGCTTAATAAAGCGAAACATAGATGTCGCCTTTAGCGCTCATCGAGATAAGCATTCAAAAGTGTTAAATATGCAAAATGGAAATTTTGTTCTCTAACGAACGAATTAGCAGGCACACGGAATTGGCAAATTAATAGACAAACACCCGCTGTTGAAGCAACACGTATCGCTCGCTGCAAGCTTGCAGAAAGTGCAGTCTTTGAATGCGGTATATTTTAAATACCAAACCACAAAATTAGAATATTGATATATATATGTATGTATACGTATTACAGTGTTACAGATATAGTCTGCCGTTGCTGCTGCAAGCAAAAGCTAACAGCTACAGCATTTATACAACGTGTCTACTCAACTGAAACATAGATGTCGACTCTGACGACTGCTGATAAAAAGCATTTAAAATGTGAGACAATTAGGAAAACGGAATTTCATTTAATAATGACCCAATTAACAATTAACACAATGTTGCGAATTAGTAGGTGCTGGGGCAGGTGTTGCTGCCTGTGTGTGTGGGTGCTTACATATTAATGTCACCGTCTCGAATCTCTACGTGCCGCACAGATCGAAGTCTTTGATTAGACACCACTTTAAAAGGCGCACACTTTCGCTGCTCGAAGCACAGTTCCCGCTAGAAGTTCCAATGAAGCCGACTACAACGCTGCTACTGCTGCTCGGTAAGCATGTGCCAAATGCTTCACTTACTCCAATTTCATTTGCGGCCAATCTTTTCCAGCTGGCGCTTGCTTTTGCTTGGGCAATCCGCTCCTGGGGCTGGTGGATCCCAGCTGTTTTGTAGCTACTGCTGGTGTCTGTCCAAATGAGAATGTCACCTTCTGGCTGTACTCCAAGTAAGTCGTCTTTGGTTCCAGCTTCTTCATCCGTTCTTACATTTCCCTCCCTTCGCGCAGCGCCACACGCGATGATCCCATTCAGCTGAATCCCATCGATCTGAATCCATGGGACTTTCAGCCGTCACGCCCACTCAAAATACTGCTGCACGGCTACACGGGCCACCGCGACTTTGCACCCAACAACCACATACGGCCCGCTCTGCTGGACAACGAGGATGTCTATGTGATATCCATAGACTACGGCCCGCTGGTGCGCAATCCCTGCTATGTGCAGGCTGTGAGGAATCTGCCGCTGGTCAGCAAGTGCCTGGCACAGCTCATTAACAATCTCGTCGAGCGCGGCATAGTGCCGCACGAGCTGATACACATCATCGGCTTTAGCCTCGGTGGCCAGGTGGCTGGGCAAACGTCCAACTATCTAAATCGCAAGCCGAAGCGGATTACGGGCTTGGATCCAGCTAAGCCGCTCTTCATCCTTGGCAGCAACACGCGTCGTCTGGATCCGAGCGATGCGGAGTTCGTGGATGTCATACACACAGACACTCTGGGGCGTGGCATGATGCGTCCCTTAGGCCACGTGGACTTCTATCCCAATTTCGGTCCGCTTCAGCCGGGCTGCATGGAAGAGAATCCCAACGATCCGGGCAGCTGCAATCACGAGCGTGCACCGCGCTTCTATGCCAAGTCGATCAATTCCAGCTTGGGCTTCTGGGGTCGCCAATGCTCCAGCTGGTTGGTTCACCTCTTTGGACTGTGCTCCACACGCTCCACGCTCGCTTTGATGGGCTATCACGTGTCGCAGCAGCTGAGCGGCTCCTTCTTCCTCAAGACACTCAGCCAGCCGCCCTATGCCATGGGCAAGCCAGTGGAAGAGGACAATAGCAAATATGTGGCCAAGTTCCACTTGAGCTCCAAGCACAATGAAATCGAAAATGATTTCGAGCCGGAACTGGGCGAATCCATACCCGAACTGGAGGACAATGATGTGGACACCAATGAGCTGGAGAAGCAACTGATCTGGCAGGAGGCGCTCGATGAGCCGCTCTTTTAACCACATTCATTTCATAAGACTTTCGAGCTATGCGATCAACTGCCAACTAATCTAAGCAAATATTTAATTTATATCAGAATAATAAATTTAATTTTTTAATTATTTAAATTATTTGGTTTTCTATAATTGCAATAGTTAAAATTCTTGGCAGTAGCTGCGGAGATACGAAACTTGTTGAGATGTTAATGAAGCGGATGGACAGACGGAGGGAAGGACGGATAGATGGATGGACAGACGAATGAACAGAGGGAAGGACAGATGAATGAACGGACGAACAGATAAGCCGAACGACGGACGGATAGACGGACAGACGGATGGACGAAGAGACGAACGGATAGATGAACAGATAGAAAGAAGGACGGACAGATGGACGGTTAGACGGAATGACAGATCAACGGGCGGACACACGTATAGGAGGACGGGCGAACTGACAGAACTACCTCGACTTATTTCGCTATTCTAATCTAGAATATAACGGGCTGGCACGCCTCCTTTTGCCTTTTACCCACCCGGAATGCCCCTCTTCAATTAATACAGAGTATAATAAATATAACTTATAATTTAATTAAAATTAAATTCGATGCGAAATCTAATTAGAGGTCAAGTTAAGTCTCGCGAGTTATCGACTTGACTAGGGTTAGTGGCATTTGAGTTTCATTTCATAGACTTAGTTGCCTTATCAGCATGCGAAAATAGAGCTGGGCCCGCAGCTGGGGCTGGCTGACTTGGCCTAGAAACGGGGCCTTGACTTCTTATCGTAGGCAGCGCATAGGGGACAACGCATTGGTCGAGTCGTGCTCAAGGTCGGGCCAAGTGAATTTAATAGAATTAGCATTAGAGAAGGCTGGCAAAGTGCTCCAGATGCTCGCGACGTGCAGATATCAGATGCATGTAATAATTCCACTGATCTGCTGGCTGCTAATGCTAAGGAGCAGCTCTGCGAGGTTGGGCAGGCAGAACTTCCCGCCCGAGCTGTGCGTCTTTGCCACGGATGAGTGCCCCAATGCACGCATCAGCTTTTGGCTCTATACCAAGTGAGTGGCGATTGGATGCAGTTGGTCCACTTTATCCACTCTACACTTTAGCTCCAGCCGTGATGCGCCTGTTCTGTTGGATCCACTTAATCTTCAGGCCAGTTCCTTTGAGCCTCGCTTGCCTTTGAAGATTCTCATGCATGGCTTCACCGGCAATCGCAGCCTGACGCCCAATGTGGAGGTGCGCGATGTGCTGCTCCAAACGCAGCCTGTTCATGTGATCTCGGTGGACTATGGCAGTCTCGTTCGCTTTCCCTGCTATTATCCGTGGGCGGTAAGCAATGCCAAAGTGGTGGCCAAATGCCTGGCGCAGTTGGTCGACAATCTCTTGTCCAACGGCCTCTATGAACGTGAACAACTGCATCTTATTGGCTTCAGCCTGGGCGGCCAGGTGGCGGGCTTGACGGCCAATTTTGTACGCGAGCCCTTGTCACGCATTACGGGTCTGGATCCAGCTGGCCCTGGCTTCATGACCAGTCGGCTGTCCGATAAGCTCGACCCGGGCGATGCAGACTTTGTGGATGTCATACACACAGATCCCTTCTTCTTCTCGCTGCTGCCGCCCATGGGCCATGCGGACTTCTATCCCAATCTCGATCACTTCAGTCAACCCGGCTGCTCATACGTGAGCCACTGGCGCCCCTACAACTGCAATCACTTCCGCGCCGCCATCTACTACGGCGAGTCCATTGTCAGCGAGCATGGCTTCTGGGCACAACAGTGCGGCGGTTGGATGCAGTTCATCTCGCAACGCTGTGGCCTCTACGCGGATCTACCCAACACTCAAATGGGCTACTTTGTTTCGCAGAAGTAAGTTATAATAATAAGGGCCATCTATATTATTATATGAGTTTTACTCTGTCTCTTTCCCGCTCTACCTTTGCAGCTCTTCTGGCTCCTTTTTCCTGAGCACTAATGAAAAGCATCCTTACGCCAAGGGGCCAATTGCCGTAATTGTCCCCGAAGTGCCGCAGCTTTGAACACCTATTTACTCAATAATTATATTATTATATATACGTATAATTATATATATAATATATTTAATATAACGACTCTCAATTGTATCTGTTATAATATCTGAATGTATCTGAGCGATTCATGAACAGTTAAAGAGGAATTCTTTCTTTCTTAAGTTCATATGAAATTTTTGAATGCAAATCAATACTCCGCATCTATACGCGTCAGAAAAGGTAAGGCACTTAAAAATCGGAGAAGAGTTAGTCAAGTTACGGCTAATCAAAGGCAGAAACATGCTAGCGTTTTCGACTCAAGCCAATTTAGGCCAAAAGGATCAGGGCTTACATCCCGTTGTTGGCCATAAATGCAAAATTTGCGGAATCAACATATTGTTATGCTGATCAGAAGACTTCATTCATACTTATCGAAAATGATAATTTATCCCAAAATCGATGCACAAATACTCGCGTTATTATTGTGAAAATTTCGTATATTTTTATTTTTCAATTTCAGCCGAAAAAAGGCCATTTCAAAATCGAGAACAGTCAAAAATAAAAAAAAAAGCTGTATAGAAAACGAACACAAAAAGCTTTTCGAATCATGGAGCGAGCTTTTTTTGTTTTCTGTTATTTAGGGTGCTGCGCTCCACAAACTTTTTCGCCTGAGCGCAAACAAAAACGAAAGACTTAAGACACGAACGCGAGCAACAGTTGCTCGCCAGCGCGCAAACGTAACGCACGTCTGCTGCTATAATTCGGAAAACAAATCACTTATAACAACACGTGCGCGTGCTTGCCCCTCCGCGAAAGCCAAGATCAAGTGTTGCACAAAAAATCGTTGTCGTTGTTGTTGTTGTTGTTGTTCGGTTTTCGTTTTTCGTTTTATTTTGGGCGTTTCGCGCGTGCCCCGCTAATTTTAACATATTCATAGCATCCGGCATTATGCCGCGACAGCTGGTTGTGCATTGAAATTGAAATCGAGAGTGTTAGCCGAGTCCAATGACCAGCTGCAGCATCCGCCGCAACAGCTGCTGCATTCGTGTATAAATAAAAAAAAGCTAAAGTAAACAAAAGCGACGCGAATTGCATTTTGCTTATAAATGTCAAAGGCAGCAAAACCTTGACCCACACAGCAAATAGTTATCAGAAGATATATATGTATATATATGTCTGTATATACTCGCTTTTGTGTTCATAAATTCCAACTTATATAACAGCAATTGACACAAATCAAAGTGACGTGCGTTTAACACTGAAAGAAAAATAAATATGTTTTGGCGGCTTCTGTGCTTGTGGCTCAGCTTCAGCGTCTTCATTGTGGACTTTGCCGGTTTGTTTACATCTATATATATATACACTCAACTAAATACATATATATATGCATATATGTAGGCACTGTGCTAAAAAGAAATCTTGTGTTTAAGCTAAACTTTTACTTTCGCTCTGGCTGCTGGGCAGCTGCTGGCATTTATGACATCTCTTGCGGCTTTCATCTCAGTGTTTTTTGTTTGCGTTTTCAATTTTAGGCACATGAATTGCGAAATATTTGCTGTTAATATTTTCTTTATGACATTAGGCCATCAAAAGTTTCGATTCGTCGACCTTGCCTCATATTATTCAGCAACAATATTTTGAAATTGATTTCCATTAAAGGCCTGAACAACTTTAAGGTTGATGCTCTCCGCAACACGTACTCAAACAACAACAACAAGCAACTACTTATAACTTTTTATAACAACTTATTTGTTTAGCCAAAGGCTTTTGTCTGTGACCAGGTCGAACGTGTTGTAGCTGCGAATTTAACACACTGTTCAAGAGTCTGGGCGGACTGAAAAGAAATCGGAGCAAAAGTTGTGCACTTTGACTAAATTCGAAAGCCAATTGGACAGAAATTTAAAGAAGAGGAATAAATATATATATTTATTTTGATTTATATATCAAATAAAAATATAGCAAATATAGTAAATCAAGCCAGATATGCGAAAGTTAGCTTAGTCTTGGCCACGTTCTGCCGGCTTAAAAGTTCCGCTGAAATTTATCCATAATTTAAGTTTGAAGCAATTGAAAATAATTTTTTAATATGACTTTAATAAATGTAAAAAGTGTATAATTTTTTCAAAGAAACTGGAATTCCAATTCATAATAAAAATATTAAAATAAAACGAATTTTGTTAGGTTTTGAAAATATAAAAATATTTGACTTTGACCTAAGGAGCTCAAGTTCTTCAGCAAAACTTGAGGTTTCACAAAAATAATGATTTTTTAGGCTTAAAAAATAGTAAAATAAAATATATATATATATTTATATATATAAATAAAATTCGAAATTGGCTTTATATATATATATAGAACAGCATAAAAACTTAAAAAAAAAATGAGAAGATATTTATAAAACATTTATTCAATTCCGATTCACACAACTTGAACCACTGTGCCTTGGGTCAGTTGGCCAAAAGCCAATGTTTCTTTTACCACTCACTGTTATTGTTGTTATATTTCTGTTTCTTTATCGTCTTCTTTTTCTTTTCACTGCTGTGAATCAGTTTTATGAATTTGTTACGCATATTTTGAATTCATCTAAGGCAAAAAAGCTTTGTGCAGTTGCCTTGCCCCGGCATCAGCTGTTGTTTTGTGGCCCAGTTAATTAATTGTGCTATCAGCCGATGTTCAACTGCACTCACACACGCGCACATATCACAGCATTGCATATATATTCATATTTTTATTAGTATTTGGCTCCAAATGCTGACTGCCTGCCTGCACCTTGACACCCATCGCTGCTGTATTTCGCAATAATTTGCGTTCAAGTTTATTAAGCGTGCCATTTTATTATTGTTTCGTATTTTAATTATTGTTGTTGTTAGGGCAATTCCACAGTCAAAGGTGACATCAAATCGCTGTTCTGGCCCCGCGACCGGCTAATGGGGCGTATGCGCATTGCAAAAGTGCGCGTCACGACGCCAGGCGAAGGCAACGAACTGAATGCCAAAGTCAAGTGCTGCTCTTCAATTAAAGTGCAGTGTAGTTGGCTAAGGTTATAAAACGTGCGCTGAGCTCTGGGAAAATGTTGTAAGAAGTATATTACCTCAAACAAAATATGGCTATGATTCAACTGATAGACAGTGCATTAGTTAAGCTAAATGAATATTCTCTTTTATTTGTCAGTTCCTTAATCTCAAGTCATTATTAGCTAACAAAATTAAAGCATTTAATTGTCTTCAATTACAATTAAATGCTTGCTGACCTTCTTACAGAACTTGAAAAGCCAAAAAAGTGTAATCAAAGCGAGTTGAGCTACGCTGAGGCATTCTAATTACACTGTGCTGCAAGTTTTGTGAACAAGTAGAAAACACAAAACTCACATAAACTCTTACTGATTGGGAATATATACTTATATATGTGTTCTTCTGCTTAAAACTAGATTGATTTTACCTCTAAAAGATCAGGAAATTTCGAGGCTTAACGACTGACCACATCTCTTGTAGGTTGGCTTAAAGGGAATCTGTAGAAATTTAACTTAACCTCGATTTGCTACGCCATCCATAGATATATATACCACAATCTTTTAAGCATATATATTCCACCTGTCAAGCCATAAATCCAACTCTCTCTTTCACCTCATATAAACGCCTGCCTCCGATTAGATTTGATAGTTGCCTTAACAGCTCTAACTGCCAAGCCTCAGATTAGCTCAATTATTCGCTCTTAACTACAGTTGCATAGCTTCTAAGAAACCTTAGTTTGAAAATAACATGAGATTCAATAAAGCATTGCTGGTCAACAGAAATGGAAAACAAAGAAAAACCACAAAAACACTTCAAATGATGCAGGCCAAACAGTTTGAGCCGCAACACAAAAACCCATAAAAAAACGACTGAAAATAAACAAAAATTAAAAGAGAGACAGAAGCTGTAAACACAACAAAGGGACAACGAATTAACAACAACAACAAAAATTAAAAAATACAAATTTAAAAGTGAACAAAGGCCAAAACAAAAACCATCTTTCACTTACAGACAAAGACGTAGCAAAAAGATGAGTCAAGTCTCAAGAGTTGTTGCAGTTGTTGCATTTGCTGTTGCTGTGGCCGTTAGCATGCCATTGGCCATTGCTTGTGTCTTCCGCATTTGTCGCTTCCGTTTTTTGCTCTTGAGGTTTCTGGAGCTAAATTTTCATTTTGACTTTTCCGGCTGACCATTTCGTGTATTTCACGATTTCAACATTGCCGAAAAAACAAACCCACTAAAATAGACATTTAATTGGCATTTGTAATGCTGGCAGCGGACTCGCAGTGCACGTCCGAAAAACCGACTTACATAAGCCACAAAAAGACGTTCGCCAAACGGTTCGCTGCCCAAGCGATGAAAGCGGCCAGAAAAGCTGAAAACTGAAAACTGAAAACCTAAAACTCGTCGCAAGTGAGGCAGAAACATGACTCCGGCCCATTGCTAATTGCAATGCGGGGGAGCTGCAGCGCTACGCCCCCGTTTGCTCTACCGCTCAGCCAGCTGGTCAGAGCTTAAACGCATTTACTAAACTGAATTATGCTGGGCTCTGCTGGCGATTGTGCAAAACAATCGCATGTCGCATGCTTAAGTTGACAAAATGAAAGAGGCAAAACCTGTAACAGCGAGTGCAGTCAGGTGTGCACGACTACTAGATACCTGGTAGTTATTGAGTTACTTAAATTGATCATAGTTGATGTAACCTAATCTATACCTCCATATATATGATATAAACATGCTCAACTAACTTTCCATTGATATCGATATTTATCGATTATTATAAAATATTGCTCTTATTTCACCACAAGCTATCCACGCATAGCAAATATGTTGTTGACACACTTACACACTCTAAGAATCTATTAGATGAGCTCAAGATCAAGGCAGGGTTTACTTAAAATCGATATTTATCGATAAATAATTAGTTATTACTATTAAGCAACAAACCTAAGCTCTAGGCTTTTATAACAAGAAATTCCATATGTAAGATTTATAATCTATAATCCAATCTAGCCAAGAGTCAAGCTATCGATATTTATCGATTTCGTCTAACTTATAATTGCTGAATAGAAGTCAATAAATGCTTATCAAATATAAATTTTATATTTTAATGCCTGTCATAGATGCAGACAAAGCCAATATACCCCATCAGCATTGCCAATTGTTTACAGGGTATTCGAAAAATCATTATGACAACATTTCACATGACAAGATGTCAGCCAGACCCAAGACGGACCAGCTTATTCAACTAGTTGCCGCCCGCTTACTATGCCATGAGGTGAGCTGATATCAAATGCCGGCTGCCCTAAAAGGCGCAGTTTACTCACAGATCACCGATCTTTGATCAGTGAAATGAACAGTGATTAGTGTGAACTGAACTGCAACTGCAACTGCGGGCGCTGCAGACCGGTTGCATTACAACATCGAGCAGCTGGTTTAGCACAGCAAAGTGGGCCAATTGGCCAACGACTGTTGTTAGCTGAAGGTCGATTCTATCTATATATATGTATATCTATGTATGTATATATAGATATAACTATTATATTTCATTTTTAATAAGGCCATAAAAATTCAAAGCGTAATGAAATTTTGTACGCGCGAGTCTCACATTTTGGCTGTCAGTTAGTGTTGCCTGTGTCTTGGCTTGAATTTGTTCCGTCTGAATTTACTTCTGGATTCAGTGGCTCAGCTGAATTGTATATTAGAAAGATTGGAATTGCCTTCAAAATTATTTGCTTAAAGAAAATCAAGTTCCAATATATAAAATAATCTGTAGTTGCAACTAAGAAATAAATGGATTTCTGACAGTGGCAGCAAATGCTTATGAACCTATCCCCAAAGCTGGTCGAACAAGCACTTAAAAATTTTATTATTACCGAACTAGTTTTTAAAGCCTAACTTAATAAAAAAATTTTAACATTGATTAAAAAACGGGAATAATAATAAAGTGATTGATTTTTATTATTATTATTATTATCAAATTTGAACTGGTTCCGCATATGAACTGAAATATAAAATAAGGAACTATGAAAATGCTTTATACAATAACTTCAATAACTAAAATAAGTGTAAACCATTTGATTATGTATAGCTAAGATTTCAATAATCAATTGCGAACTAGTTCCGCATCTAGTTCCTTAACTAGTTCCGAAATATAAGACATAAGATATAAGTTTCGACTACCAGAAAGCAAATCAATATAGTATGACAAATAATAAATGTCACCTATGTTTTATCACTTATGAACTAGTTCCGCATATGAACCAAAGTATAAATAAAAGAAATGCATGAACGGAAAAGGCGTTTAACCAATCTTGTTTGTCATATAAATTCGATATATCAACATTTGAAGCTATTAACGATCACGAACTAGTTCTTTATGTGAACGGAAATGAACAAAGCTTGACTTTACGACTGTTGCAGCTGTGCAGATGAGCTCATTGAATATGGGTTTTCCTTATGGCTCTTGCCATGAATCATACGCACACATTGGACACATCGAAGCTGCCAGCGTCCAGTTATGTCACGTCACGGTGTTTGTGTTATAAATAGCAGCAACTGACAACAAGCTGACAGCAGAAATAACAACTGGAAATAATAGCAGATGCGAGTGTTTGTTGCACACTTCCGTTTTTTCGTTCGCTTTTGGCTGACTTTTACTTTTGCCACAATTGCAGAAATGTGGCAGCAACTGCTGGCAAATGTGGCAATTGCAGCCGCATCGGCATTTGCCACAAAATCGCCAACATTCAATGTCTCTTATGTAATTTAGCCTGACAATAAAGAAAAACCCGTTTAGCCACAGCCGGAGGTGAAGGTGTTCCGACAACTAACACAATCTGTCTCTCTCTCTCTCTCTCTCTCTCTCGCCCACACTCTCCCCCACTCTCTACTCACTCTACCACTCTCTCTCATTCTCCCTCTCTCACAGCTGCTCAAAACCCTGCTGTTGTGGCTGCCGCTGTGGCTGCGGGCCAAAATCAATCGCAAGTCTATGTCACAGACTCTTGCCTCGAGAAACCCTATCGCTGCCCGCATCCAAAGATACAATTCTATCTGTATACGCGACGCACTCAGGAGGAGCCTGAATATTTGGATGTGCTCGATCCGAATGCCTTGTACTACACACACTTCAATCCACGACATCCCACCAAGATCATCATCCATGGCTTTGGCGGCGGTCGCATGCTCAGCCCCAGCCCGGACCTGCGAGAGGCGTACTTCAGCATCGGCGAGTACAACATCATCATCGTGGACTACAGCAATGCGGTGAAGGAGCCGTGCCTCAGTCAGATGGAATGGTCGCCACGCTTTGGCAGTCTGTGCATCTCGCAGCTGGTTAAGTATCTGGCGCGACATCCGCGTGGCGTGCAGCCGGACGACCTGCACTTCATTGGCTACAGCGTGGGCGCGCACATTGCGGGCCTCGTTGCCAACTTCTTGAAGCCCGAGGAAGGTAAGATTGGACGCATAACGGCTCTGGATCCCACCATATTCTTCTATGCGGGCGCGAATAACTCACGGGACCTGGACACGAGTGATGCGCACTTTGTCGATGTGATGCACACGGGTGCCGGCATTCTGGGGCAGTGGCACTCGAGCGGACATGCCGACTTCTATGTCAATGGCGGCACCAGGCAGCCAGCGTGTGTAGGCTCTGCCACGCTATTTCGTAAGTTGATTGGGGGCGTAACTCAGGTTAAGTTTATAGAAATGTTATCGAATATCGATAAATTGATAATGGCTTGAGATTAATGAGACTTTGCACCAGGATAACTTTGAATAATAGCAAACATAGAAATTGAGAGATCATATCTATTAACGATAAAAAGTTATCGAATGTGAATTATCGATATATTTCATTAAAGCAAAACGAGACCTAAATTATATATTATAACAGTCTTAAATAATTGTAAATTACATAAATATTAAGTCGAAGGCCTTTATTGCAGAAGCTTAGTGTTCTTTTAGATCAAGATTAACCGATAACATATTTATCGATATTAGTTTATGACTCAATGCATCAATGCATAATTATATTCAATATGGTTCTTTGAACTCATGAGGATGTTGAATGTCAAAATATTAATTTATGTTTATCGATAACAATTATCGAAAAGAAGTGTAGCTGAAAGATATATATAAAAGATATGGAGCTTATCAGATGTTGAGGATTTTTAAACCTCTTGCCTTTGAGGAGAACTAATCTAAAATGTTGGCACACTTCAGAAACCTTGGCCTGCGATCACACTAAGGTCACGCCGTACTTTATCGAGTCGATAACTACGAAACGAGGCTTCTATGCGGGGCCCTGTCCCAATCTATTCACCTATCTAATAGGCTGGTGCGAGCCCAAGGACTCGGAATATGTGCTCATGGGCGAGCACTGTTCGCACAAGTAAGTCGCATGTTAAATATGAAATCACTAATTTATATATTTTATAACTGCTATTTGAAACACAGAGCACGTGGCAACTACTATGTGACGACGAATGCGAAGGCGCCCTTTGCACGCGGCTTTCCGGGCAAGGGGCGAGCCAATGGGGAGTACCAGGGCGTAAGACGTTGATCGGCTGGGGTCTGTTTATACTTTACATAGATATATTTGTGACGTAGCACTCATGTGATGTTAGTTCGTTGTCTCCTAATTATGAGTATTTGTATTTATTTCCCGATGCTTTCATCTTAGTTTTTACCATCTGCCGCCATCGTCGTTGTCCGCGCCTTGTACAAATCGAAATCTAATCATTAAATTTAGCTAAAAGAAATAAAAATATGTTTTAAACAATCAATTGCATTTTCTTTCTTCTTGTTTTTTTTTTGGCATAATTTGTTAACATGTTTCATTTATTGAATTCCAAATACAATTTTTTCGTTTAGGTATAATTTGTTAAGCCTTTATATGTGGTTCGTATAGTCGGGTTGCTTGATGGGGCCTATGAAAGAATTTTGTGGCATTAAATCAAATATAATTTGTATTTTGTTAAATATTATTTGTAATTAGTTTGAATGATATCGGCATAAATACTTTGAATACCTTTTTTAGACTAGTTCATAAAATTATACAACATTGGGCGGGTGTTGCCAGAAAAGGGAGCTTGATTTACTTTTATATTTATATATATATAGTTTTTTATACATTTACTAGTTGTTGAACAGAACACATAAATAATACATATATTTTTTCAATTTCAATTTAAATTTCAATTAAAATATATATACATAGCACGAATATAAATGTTTAATAGACTTTTCAAAAGTTCTTTTTCTTTTCTGAAAAGAATATTTGAAGCACGACTAGCCGCAGCTTTCTCTTAGTTAAGGTTTGTTAATTGTGCGTCTATATTTATATATGTCTGACAAATAGATGAGGTTGTAATAATATATATATATATATATATATATATATATATAGTCATAGTTATAGTACCCTAGTTATAACCGGTTAATGGGCTTTAAGTGATATTCATTGCAGTTTGTGCTCCGATTTGCCAGTTTATGATTTCTTTTTATTATATTTTTTACTAATTAAATATGAATTTAATTTTTTATGTACACTTAAATTACTCACAAAAGCATTTAATGATGGCATTTAGCTAGTTATATTGCATATATATATATATATATATAAATATATATATATATACAGACTGTTCGGTCAAATGTTCAACAAGTATTTCGTAAGAGGTTTTTAGCTAGAGTTTCGTATATATGGAAATATTTTGTAAAACAAAAAAACACTGTGGCGTTTTTGTTAACATATTTGTTATTATTGTCCACACAGCCTTGAGAGCTTTATTGTCTCTCAAAATAATGTAAATTAAACTATATAGATGGAAATAATATCATTCCAGTTTATACAGCTAAATGACAATTGAGAGCCTCGTTTGTATTCATCTCTCCTGTCAAGAACTGATTTAACTTTTAGAGACACACATATACATATCTATATATAACTATGTATTCAATAATAACTACAATAGTTCTGAGCGCATCTTAATGCCTTTTATATGTACAGACTTGAATTGATTAATGCTAATATTACACATACGCCCCAGTGGCCGAAAGTTTTCATTTGCTGCCAATTTTCTTAGTAAAAGCATCAAAATTGTTGTCTAAATTTTAAACCAACTAATATTTTCAATACTTTAAAAATAAAATATTATTTCTTTAAATATATATATATATATATTTTTTTTTATATATATATATATATATATATTAACAAAGCTTATGTAACTATTTATTGTCGCTTTCACAAGCAGTTGGTTGTTATTTGTTGCTTTGTTTAGTTTATAGTCATTGTTCAACAACACATATAACAATTAAAATTTAAGTTTTTTAACTATGCTCTAAATAATATTAATGTATAGATAATCATATATATATTTATATAATATTCGCTGCTCTGTACAAATTACGGTATAAGAATTGACTCTTTAGTTAGAAAATTTTCACATTTTAATAATACATAGTGGTGTAATTGTGAATAATTTGTTTAATATTACATTTTATAAATATATTTATATAATATATATATATATAAATTTATCGGTAAGTAATGTATATATGACTCGTATATTCAATAATATAATACATTTAATATATGCGTTGTATATAAGTTCTACAGTTGCCACAGAAAGTAAGTGCGTCTATAGAGAAAGAAAATAATATGCAAAAAAAATTAAAAGTGAGTGTATACAAATTGTGCTCAAACATCAAAAAAGAAAAAAAACTATGAATAAGAGTATGTGCTAAAAATATAATTTATAATAATTAAAAATCAAAAATTTGCTCAAAGACTAAAATTAAGTGTTAAATTTATAACTTACAAATATTGAAAAATAAAATAAAAAAAACTTAAAATTTTTTTATATAAATTTAATATTTCTTAACAAACAAACTTTTTCACAAATTTAAAATAATAATTTAAATATTTGAGAAAAAGTGCATTAATATTGAAAGTAAGTCAAAATAAATTAAACATATTTTGATATAAAATATTTACAGTACAAAAATATGTCTACTAAGAAAGTGCATCAAAAATAAAAATTATATTCAATTTAAAATCTGCGCCTAATAATACTTATATAATGAGAATCTAATTTGGTGCATTGAAATGTTAATGTGCTCATAATAAACAAAGGTAATACAGTTTTATTTAAATAAATATTGATAAATAAAATATTTGATATTATTTCTTAAAATATATATTTAATATTATATTGTGCTATTATTTGTTTTATATACATTAAGATTCTTCTTGTTGCGTCTTCTTATTAAACATGCATCAATATAATAAATAGTTAAAATGTTTTTAAATGTTTAAGTTAAATTTATATAAGCAAAAACAACTGCTGACCTCAAAATGTATGCACTAAAATGTAAAGAAAAATAATAACATTAAATTATTATTTGCTTAAGATTATTTTAAAATTTTTTTATGAAAACTAAATTTTATAAGATTTGTTATGCTTTTATTTTCTTTCAAATAAATATTTGAAAAATATTTTTCTTTTTGTCAAAAATTATACATTTAAATTATATTTTAATATTTCACATTAAAAAAAAAATATATTTACTTTTGTAAAAAAAAAAACAATAAAAACGTGCCCTAAATTTGATGTAAGTGCAGTTAAAAATGTAAAAAGATTTAAATATTAGGAAAAATTTAAAAAAAAATAATTTTTTTGTCAAGTTTTAAGCCAGCAGAAGTTTTTGCTTATGTATAATTTGTGTATGTCTATATGAAGCAAATTGTAGGATGAAGATTGAAGAGCATATGAAGACCAATTCTGAGGTTATTGGCGCCTAATGCTAGCTACTTATTAGCCTAAGCTACTATATGTGTGTTTTAGTACCTATATCATGCCATTGCTCGAGTCGTGCCATAAACCAAAAGCATTTATTTATGTGTGTAAAATATTATATAATTTATAATTATGAGTTAAATATGGTAGAAGTATACTGTCTTTTTCATATGAATTTTAATGTTTATCATTCGTGCCGAACATCAACAATTGCTTAGCTTTTAGTTAGATAAGTTTATGATTAAAATTTACTAATGCTTAGACATCAATGACATTTGAAGTCGTGTCTTTATCATATACATTGAATATCATTAACGGTAATAAAACTTGCAGTTTTTTATTTATATATAATTTTCATTATTAACTGCTAACAACAATTAATTCGCTATTATTATATAATATATGTGTATATATAGTGTCTATATAGTTAGTTTGAAATTATTTATAATAATATTTCATAACGATTTGAGACGTGCTGTGTGTGCCTGGATTATGTCTGTTTATGATATACACAAATGTCAAATATTATAATAATTATCTTTCGATTCATATATTTTCTCGATTTGCTGTAGCTTGTAAATAGAGTTCTGCGCAAGCGACGCTTAAAAGTAGGCTATAGATTTTGTGCTTTGCTCTTGAGGGCCAAGTTTAACGTTATCCTTTGTGTCCTGTATACGCGTACAATATGTAGTTGCTCTGTTAGGTACATAGTTTCATAGTGTTAGTGTGCTGAGTGAGTGTGTGTATGCGTGTGTTGTGTGTGTGTGAGAGTTTTTTCGATATAGAAATTCGTTAGACTCGGCCTGAAGTTCTTTTTCGATTTCAGTTTCAGATATATATCTATATGTGTGTTGGTATTATATCTTATATACAAATCAACCCCATCAGGAACAAACAATAAACGGACTATAACTAAAAGCTAATTGTATATCAGTTGATCTGCCAGTTGTGGTTGCTTACTGCTGTTGATAGGCCTGCTGTTCGTAGGGATTCGTCGAAGAATTCGCTTGTCCTTGCGTGTAGTCCGTGTAGCCATAGCCTTCGCTCGGCTGTGCCGGCTCCTCGACAATGGGCGCGCCCGCTGCCAATGCAAATGGATTGTTGGCCACGTGCCCGGTGGCGCCATAGCTAATGGCATTCGATTGCTGCATTTGGCTCTGCTCCGTGTACTCCGGTGCGCCCTGCAGGGGTGGGACGAGAAGTAAAAAGGTATTAAGTGTGCCTAATGCATGGCGTGCTTGGCTTACGAATGAGGTCTCCTTCATGTAGTTGCCCATCATGCCCGCCTGGCTGGGATCGTCGCCATGGGTAATGGCGCCCGCTGGCGGTGCCCACACCTGCTGCTCCTCAGCCGGTGGCTCGGCCCAGGGCTGCAGCTCGCCGGAGGCAAAAATGCCATAGAAAGTGCAGCCAATCAAGTGAACACAGGCGGCCAAAGTAAACACCGTGGTCCAGCAGCCAGTTGGCTATAGACAAAATATAGATAAAACTCATTGAAACCGAACAACTCTGCAGGCTATCAATCCACTGCCACTTACATTCGCCTGGATGAGTCCATCCAGCGCATAGGGCACTATAATGCCAGCCAAGGTGCCAATGCCATTCGACAAGCCCATCAATATGCTCGCATAGCGAGGCGCTATATCCAAATGATTCACATTATAGCCAGAGATGGCAAAGCCGCTGAACGCAACACCGCAGGTCAAGGCAAACATGGCGCCCGTCTAAGAAAATATTATATAAATATAAATAAATAAAT